TCAATCAATCAATCAATCAGTCCATCCATCCATCCATCCATCCATCCATCCATCCATCCATCCATCCATCCATCCATCCATCCATCCATCCATCCATCCATCCATCCATCCATCCATCCATCCAGGGAGGTCCAGACATCTCTTTCCACAGTCACCTCTTCCAGCTCTTCTGGGAGGATTCCAAGTTGTTCCCAGGCCAACCAAGAGACATAGTCTCTCCAGCATGTTCTGGGTCTTCCCCAGGGTCTCCTCCCAGTCGGACATGCTCGAAGCACCTCCCTAGGGAGGCGTCGAGGGAGCAATACCAGATGCTTGAACCACCTCAACTGGCTCCTCTCGATGTGGAGGAGCAGCAGTTCTACTCAGAGTCTCTCCTGGATAACTGAACTTCTCACCCTATCTCTAAATTATGAACAGAATCGATGACAATGGGCAGCCCTGGAGGAGTCCAACTCTCATCCTGAAGAGATCTGACTTACTGCCGGCAATGCAAACCAAACTCTCACACTGCTTGTACAGGGACTGAACAGCCCATAACAACGGACTTCCAATTCCATACTCACGGAGCACCCCCCACAGTGTACCCAGAGGAACACGGTCAAATAACTTCTCCAAGTCCATTATTAAAATAAAATGAAATCTGAAAACAATAGTGTGAATTCTGGATAAAGTTTGTAGACTCACTTGTAAAAGGCTTGGTTCTCTACACCACACTTCCAAAGGTGCTTGCATGCCTCCGGTGTGGGCGCAAAATATGTCAAGATGATCTTTTTGTCCTGCGCGATGGAAACAAGAGGGCAATTTAACAAGCCGAGACAGAAAAACACCTCGCTCCAAAAACAGGGTCAATCTTTTCCCTTCTCATGCTCTCACCTCCTTCTGATTTGCATATACGTGGAAAGTCTTGCCTTCGAACTTCAGTTTGGTCACCTCGTTCCTGTCCGGAAGAAAGCACAGTAACAGTTAGAGCGAGACAAAACAGAAAGCCACAGCCTCTTTAAATATTCACGACAACCACTTTGACATCATTTAAACAGCCATGGTGCTGCATGGTTGGCTGACAAAACAAATTAGTGATGGTATTCCCTGCAGAGAGGGAAAGCAGAGTAAGAGAAACCTGAGCGAGGCTCAAGGCAAACAAACAAAACAATTATAATTATGATGTAATGCGTAATTTCACTGGTTTTATGACAGTAACAGAGATATTCTCAGTTATTCTACAAAAAAAAAAAACTGCCTTTAATGGATAAATGTGAGTAATAAATAAAAACATTTCTTATTTAATCATCTAAACAGACACTAGTATAAATCTCTCACTTTTATTCTCTTTAAAGGGCTTCATTAATTTAACTGCCATAATCAGCCATCTGTCCCTAAACAAGCCTCTGGTTCTGGACACATGTAGAGACAGATGAAGGACGATTTAGGAGACATACAGTATGAGGAGACATTTGGCTCACCATTTGAGAAAATGAAGTCTCCTGTTTCCCTGAAGAACCACAAAACCGAACGGAGTGAAGGCGAGGAAAGATGGGTTCCCAGACACATCCTAAAATTCAGAGATAAACAGTATTTAGGGACAAATAAAACACAAACAGGCATAGGTTTCAGCAAGTACTGTTTCCTGTGGGGGTATATAAACTTTGTAATAAAAAAAAGAAACATATCTGAAATGTTTTCTGCCTAAAAATAGCAACAAACTCCACCCAACCTTGCATGGATGAGGATCAACACCATATGTCTCCAACATTTGGGCTTTCTGCAGGAAATTTCTCTCAGATGTTTCAGGTGTCTGTCCACTACGGAGAAGCAAATCCCCTCGTCAGTCAATGGCAGGCATAAAACAGAATTTATAATAACAAACGCACACATATGTTCACTTTAAATAGGGTGATATCTTTTTCAGAAAGGGAGAGAGGGATAAACTGATTAAACACAGACATATGAAGCCAAAAATATTTATTTACGGATGTATTTTTTCAATCTGTTGACTGATATTTGTGCTGATTAATCTTGAGAAAATAAGTGACCACAAGTGGGTGGCAGAGAGTCACAGTACGTGTCCTTTTATGTGTCTGTGATTCATGAACAAACTTTTATTTGTCTGAGCCCCTTTTTCTTCTAGTCAGCATCTGAACCTTACATCTAAAACAAAACAAGAAGGAATAAAAAAAAAACTAGAATTTAAATTAGGATCATCTTTTAGTGAGAACTGCAAGAGCTGAAGTCTTTTAAAAAAGAATGTGTGCTATTTCATTCAATATGTCACGCTCAGATCATGTGTTGTCGATGACTCTCAACCACTACCAAGTCCAATTTTAGCTCACCACCTGCTAAATTCACTGACCCATGTGCATTTTTGTGTTGGCTGATGTGAATTAGCTGTAGAGGCCATCGTGAAGTGGATTGATTCCAGAAGTTAATCAGTCAGAATCAGAATAAGATTTTTTTTATCATTGCACTGAGATACAACGAGCACATGCACATGCAGTCGTCCGGAAGATGGACGTAGTGCACGAAGATGCTACTATAACTAAGTGAGGCCTTTTTTATCCTTTGTAGGAGTAAATCTATTGAATAGATAGTTTCATTAAATTCCATTAGGGATGGATGATATTGGATTTTTGGTCGATGTCCGATATGCCAATATGTATCAAGTTTATTTGGACAATAAAAAAAAAATACCAATATTTTTCCCCTAGACCTACTTATTTATTACTACATAGCTTTCTCTGCTGTGGAATTAAAATACTACATTATTCTGCATGGTGTTTGTCAATTTGGCCTGATACCAAATGCAGATGTAAAAAAGGGTCTAAAAATGATGCAACACTTCAACTTGGATTATGTTTAATGTCAAATTTATTC